TGCAACTATAATTAGTCAAGTTAACATGAGGATCACACTTGAGTAGGGCGGGCTCCTCCTTCAGTGTGACTAGTCCGCCTACACACAGGGGGAGCACCATGTGAACATGGATCCCATCTACAAGCCAAAGACAGAAGCCTGGAACACATCCTTCCCTCATGGCATTCGAAAGAATTAATAATCCTACCAGTATTTTAATTTCAGATTTCTAGTCTCTAGGGCTGTGAGAAGATACGTTTATGGTATTTCAGCCACCCAGTGTGACTTACTTTGTCACAGCAGCACTACCAAATTAAAACACTTATTTCCTATGAAAACAATACATGAGAATACAGAAAACATATACCATGCTTAATGCTGAGAGAAAGAATGCTCACATGTTAAGACTGAGAACAAGACTAGGACATCCTCCTCTATCACCACTAATGTTCAAAAATTCTTAAGTGTGAGCTAAGGTGGTAAGGAAAGAAAAGTGAAAGAAAAGTAAAGCGACCATGTCCTCCAGTAGATAAATGAGTAGACAAACTGTACTTCATCCATATAATAAAAAAACCAAGCAGCAATAAAAAATGAGGCATTAATTTAAAAGAAAAACATGTACAAAACTTAAATGTATACGACAAACGAAAGAAGACAGAAAAGGCTTCATACTTTATGAACCCACGTATGTGACATTCGGAATAGGCAAAATGATAGGGATAGGAGACAGGCCACTGGTTCCCATGGAGCTGGTAAGAAGGTACTGTTTGACAAAGAGAAATAAAGGGAATATTTTAGAGCGGTGGAATTAATTACAATTGATTCTCCTTATTCATGGATTTTGTATTCAAAAATTCATCTACTTGCTAAAATTTATTTGCAACCTCAAAATGAATAGTCAGAGCACTTTCAAGATCACTTGCAGATGTACACAGTAATAACAATTTTGATTCATCGATGCACACATTCCCAGATGTCAAACAAAGCTCAGCTTTGCCGTTTTTCTTCTCAGTTCTCATACTGTAAACAATTACCCTTCTTGTTGTCTCCTTAATGTCATTTTTTATGTTGCGCTTTGTGTGTATGTGATCTCACTGTTTAACATGGTCCCCAAATAAGGGACTGAAGTGCTGTCTAGTGTTCTTAAGATAAAAAAGGCTGTGATGGGTCTTACTGAGGAAATATGTATATTAGAAAAGCTTCATGGAGGCATGATTTATAGCTCTGTTGGCTGTGAGTTCAGTGTTAATGAATCATAGTTTGTGTGTGTGTGTGTGTGTGTGTGTGTGTGTGATGCACATGGTGTCTATAAGTAGAAACACTATTTGAATAGGTTATGTATTGGTTGGCTGAGGAAAAATATTATGACCAGAATAAGAAAGAAACCTTACCTTTTATTTCTTCCAGGAATAATGGTTCAGTATTCAAAAACTCGGCGTTCACACTGACTTTATAGAACATAATTACTGTGAATAAAAAGCTGCCCTGTAAAGGAACTGTAATATGAATACATAATGCTAAGCTTTTGTCCAAACCCATAAAGCTTTCAATAAACTTTAAAAAATTGACTAAAGTGTAAGAGGATCTCAGAATGGAATGCAGATTGTATAAGATAATCTATCTGGACTACAAATGCATGATATAGCCTCACTGAAGGTGATGGGGGGAAAAGGTGCTGACTTTTTCAGAGTAACTTTGGGGAACACCATTTTAATGTGACTAAAGACGAAAGGAATGCTACATAAACAGTATATTCTAGTTGGTCACATCTTTTTCTCATAGCAGTAAGTTGTAGCAATTCTGAACACTCTGTACACATACAGTAAGACTGAAAAATAAGTCAATGATTGGTGAATGGAGAGTGTGACCCCAGGCAACCAGTGGGGGAAGGGTACAATGATCCAGGTGATACTAGAGTAGACTCAATGACATCAGTATATTTCCTGTATCTATTTTTTGCCCTTTTAAAAATTAATTACCTTTATAATA